CCCACCCCAGCAATTGTTAACCACTTGCATATGCCCAGGAAGGGGAAGACTCATGTACCTCCAGAGCCGTCCGTCCCTTCTGTAGAAGAATGCGAACAGGTCCAGTCTTGTGGTGTTTCCTGTGGGTAATCTGATATCAGTTAGCACACTTGTAAAATACAGAAAAAACAACTGTACTTTTATCTATTTCCAAGGAATAATGAGAAACTGAAATGTACAAATAAGCGACCCACCACACACACAAATACAAAATGTTTAGGAAGGAATCCTAGAAAGGCGAGCATGACCGGTCTCCTGAAAAATCCCAGGACACGCGGAGCCCTCAGCAGACCACGAGAATGCCGAAATGGAATTGCTGGTTCTGCTGTCATAGAAGCTTCCCCAAAGTCAAGTGCAATTTTGATGAAAACTCCAGTGATTTCTTGTTGTTTTGTAGAACTTGACAGATTCCAAAGTTTGTAGGCAAATGTGAAGGACCTAGAGTTGAAGCTCCAGCCTTGGAGAGAGAAGAAGAGAGTGAGAGAAAATGAGGTGCGGCCTCCACGCTGTCATCCTGACCTGTGTGTCCCGGCCTCCCCAGTGCGGGGACTGCGGGCCTCGCCACAAGCCCAGGCTGCTTGGTTTGTTTTTGTACGTATGAAATCCAGGGTCTCATCATGCTATACCTGTGCTACACCCCTGCACACATGTGCTACACCCCTGCACACATGTGCTTCAGCCTGGAAAAGGGCCTCAACTGGCCAATTTCAAGGCTTATTTTAAAGCAAGTGTAAACAAGGCCAGGTAGACATGCAAATGAAGAACAGAATCCAGACTAGAGTCTTAAACATCTGCTTAAAACATGGTCAGAAGAAGGAGGAGGAGGAAGAGGAGGAGGAGGAGAGGAAGAAGAAGAAGAAGAAGAAGAAGAAGAAGAAGAAGAAGAAGAAGAAGAAGAAGAAGAAGGAAGAGGAGAAGGAGGAAGAGGAGGAGGAGAAGAAGAAATAAATTGGACTTCACAAAACTCAAGAGCCTTTACTTTTTAAGTCAAGAGACTTAAATATACGCCCATACCAGGAAACAATATTTGCCAATAATGTACCTGTTAGAAGATGTGTTGGGGAATATTATTTTAAGGTGTGTTCCTTTTTTTTTAATTTGTTGCATTTGTTTAACTCTGTGAAGCTGTGTTACTGTGCCTGCCTAAAACACCTGAATGGTCTAATAAAGAACTGAACAGCCAATAGCAAGGCAGGACCTGGCAGGCAGAGAGAATATATAGGAGAAATCTGGGAAGAAAGGGCTGAAGAAGAAGGAGCCAGAGGAAGGAGGAGGACATCAGGGGCCATCCACCCAGCTACACAACAAGCCACAGAGTAAGAGTAAGATTTATAGACGAGAACAAGAAAGGTCCCCGAGTTGAAAAACAGAGGGGTTAATTTAAGAAAAGCTGGCTAGCAACAAGCCAAGCCAAGGCCAAGCATTTATAATTAAAAATAAGCCTCTGGTGTATGATTTATTTGGGAGCTGGGTGGCAGATCCCCCAAAAGACCAACCAACAACAAAGATGTGTATCCATAACATACAAATAGCTCTCAAAATTGAATAAGAAAACATCGTCTAAAGTATGGAAGACTTGAATAGATAACTTCAACCAGGAGAATTTGCTGAGCCAAGACATTTAACATGTTTAGTCATTAGTAAAGCAGGAGCTAACACCACAGTAGATAATAAATCCATCACACTAGTACAACAGCTAAAATTAAAAGGACTGGTCATGCCAGATGCTGATGAGGATACAGGGCACTGGTGTCCTACTAAGCCGATAGCGGGAATGTAAAAACCAGTTCAGAACTTCCTTTCCTCTCTTTGTTATTTTAGTTTTGAAAGGCATGGCCTCCTGTAGCTGGAGACTTGTTATGTGGGTGAGAATGACCTTGAACGGTTTATGTGGTGGGTGTTGGGGATTCAACCCAGGCCTTTGTGCATGCTGGGCAAGTGCTCTACCCATCGAACACACCTGTGGCCCCTGGACTTGCCTTACCTTGTCAAACACAACCCAAGAGGATCCGGTCATTTCATTCCTAGGTATTTATGTATGCCCAGAGAAGGAAGGCCATGCTTCCATACAAAGATGTACACCGTCTTCATAGCGGCTTCATTTGTAACAAGCAAAAATCTAGCATTCGTCTCAATGCCGCCGGTAAGTAAGTGGATTAAAACTGTGGTACGTCCCTCCATGATGATTGCTGCCCCGCAGGAAGAAGAATTGAACACCTGATGGGCGACAACAAAATAACCTCAGAATAATCATGCTGAGAGAAGAGTCCTACACCCCTCCCCCGCAAAAAAAGTTCATACTCAATGATCCCATTAGTTCCCATGCAAACTAATGTACGGTAATAGAAGATCCATGGTTGCCTGGGGGAGGGTGTACGTGGGTGGGCGACGCAGGGAGGGATTGCAAAGAAACGCCCGGACCCCCTGGGTGTGCCCATCACCTTATGGAGGAGCTCCTGCACACATGCACATGTCAAAACTGTATATTCTACACATGCAGCTTATTGTGCGCCAAATATATCTCAAGAAAGCTACTGTAAAATGCATGCGGTGGGCACATTATGCGGCAGTCTGTGCTGGGCTGCGTTAGAACAGGGTAAATGCTTTACCCCTTTAGTGTCTACAATAAAGCTATCAGTCTGATGCTTGTGATTGACTGCTCCCTCCTAGTGACAGAGCACCGAGGTTTGGACAGGTTGTCACCCGCCAGTGCTTAGTTAAAGAGGTGCTATTCCGTCTCCATTGAATTTGCATTAGAGACTCAGCGCTGGGAGTTCTCGTCTTCACGGTGTAGATCCCCAGGCATGTGGCAGAAGCAGCTCAGAGGCTCATGCCAACTCCACAGAGCGACCCACTGAGTTCGGAGAGGGTAAGGTGACCTCTAAGCTGCCGGGGAGCAGCGTCTCTGCCGCTCAGAACAGGCCCTGGTGGCAACCCTGGCTGCCATTTGCCGCGTTGCAACTCTCCGTTGGACCCAAGATCGAGTGGATCCGTCAGAAACTTCAGCTGCGGCTGCACGGTGACCGAGTGTGCCCAGGAGCGAGGAGGAGGAGGAGGAGAGAGGGAGGCTTGTCATTGACCAGGGCCGCAGAGCGAGCACCTTTTCGGGTGTCGACGCTGGGGCCGGCGGGGGCGTCGCGGAGGCGGGCCCGGGGACGCTCGCTGGCG